AGTCATTGCTTTGAACTCGTCCTAAGTTTTTGAAGTTTCCGTTACGAAAAGTGTAGCATGCCTTTATGCGTTTACGTCGAAATGAGAAAGTGCCGAGCCCTTTGCCGAGCACTTCCGAGAGGACTCTCTCCCGAGAGGACTCTCTCCCGAGAGGACTCTCTACCGAGAGGACTCTCTCCCGAGAGGACTCTCTCCCGAGAGGACTCTCTCCCGAAGGCGCTTCGGCTCGCGGGAGCTTTCGTTCTCTTAGTTTTCCGGACTCTTTCCGGCCTTTGCAGACGCTCTTCGCGGAGCGAGTGCGATGGGGATATATTGCTTGCGCCGCGAAAACGAGATAGCTGCCATTATGCTATCCTACTCGCACAGCGAAAGCTCTCTCCTCGGAAAGGACTGCCACTTGTGCCGCCTGGGAATAACAAACCCTAATAAAGCATGCTGACTTTCAGTTTGTCAACATGAGGAAAACAAATAATGAATTTGAAGTTCAAAACTATGGGCGGTCTTTGACACTTCCTTTTGCACCTGAAAAATCAACACACTTTTAGTTTTAAGTCCCGTTAAGCTCATAGTAGGCTTAATCTCTTTAAAGCTATATGATTTCTAGGATTAAAACCTAAGCCTGACAAGTTTAGTCTATTCAGTAGTTAAGCAAATCAAAGTCCGCTAAACCAATAGCAGATGGACTGTGCTAAAGGCTGTTAAATGTTATTGTTTAATTTAAACAAAACTAAAAAGAAACATAAACTAAGTGTTTCCGTTTTTTAGAATATGTGACTAAATAGTACAAGTATTAATATTCAAATTATTTTATTTTTAATAAAAATTAAGTTCTATATAATTTTAAAGATACAGATTTATAATTTGGCATACATTCTACATATTAAGACCCTACTATAAAAACAATTTATGTTGGTCCTTAAATTAGGCCATATCATGATCTAACTCTAAGTACATAAATTCAAAGACACGGGTTTTCTAAAAATTATATAATTGCTCAAAAATCTTTTAAAGTATTTTATGTCTTGCAGGGAAAATACAATTTTGTTTAGGGCCAATTTTTATAACTTGAACACGCAGTTTAACTGTTTACAATTTCAAGTTGTTAGCAATGCTCAGAAAACTTGCTATGCAAAAATTAGAACTTTTCTTGTCCGTTTTATTGAAACACGTTACCACTTATACAATAAATATAAAAAATATTCTTTGGCCTATCTTATGTAATAAAATACCCAAAAACCGCCAATTAATGTTGTTTAAAAATTGACTTTGGGTGTTTAATCCATTGTCATCAATTATAAAAACCCGCAAGATGACAAATTTAAAAAATTTTTGTTGAGCGTTTTAAATATTGCATTTAACAAATTAAGGTCATTTATGTAAACGTAAGACCGCTGGGTTAACAAATAAAGTTAAAATCACGATTATTCTTTAGAATATTTCGAAGTTTTTTAAACTTTTAACGAACAACTAACTCCCCACCCCTAGCACAGCAAGTTTAACTTATAACTTTTGTTTGAGTGTAAGCCGCTGAGCTTGTGTTTGTTAGCGGCTGGCACATGCAACATTTGGCATTGTTGGTAGGCGGTGTTGACTTGTTTCCCAGTCGCCGCTTGCTGTTTTGGGATTTGCGCCGGCAAACGAAAGGGTGCGGTGGGGTGCGGAAATGCATTTCGAGTCCGCTGGCCATTGTTGTTGCACTTGTTGGTGATTGTTTGTTGTTTGCACCGCCCACACACACACACCCACTAAGTCGACAGGGGGGCGGGGAGGGGGTGCCACATGGGCGACAGCTGAGTGGGGCACGTCTGAGCATTTAAGCGGGGAGGAATGTGGGTTAATGGGTTTTTAGTTGCCCTTTTCATTACTCAGCAGGCAGCCATATACGCGCCAACTGCAAATTGTTTCGTTGTGCGAAATGCTAATCAAATTGCATTCCACGCGCTCCTTAAGTCTGTCCGAAGGTCCCCGAAGTTTAAGCCAAAGTTTGATTGGCTTTCGGCCGGGGAAAACAGCTTCCTCTTCTGGCCGAAAGACAACAAAGCCCATATTCCCACAAAGTTCTGGCCGCATAATAATGGCAACAGTTTCGTTTCTCACGCTCCGCTGATTAGCATGCGAAACACGTCAGGTACGCACACTATAAAAAAGGATGACTAAAGAAAAAATGATGGCATATCCCAACCTATTGCATCTTAAAACAAGTATTCAGCTCCTAGCAAATATATAGTATTTGCAACTACTTTGCATATTGTTTTAAATTCGATTCAAAAAGGATCAAATGGATACTTAAATATTCGAAAACATGCAACAAAACTGTCTATGCTGAGATTTTGCTTACTTTTTTCAGTGCACTCGCACGCATCAACCTACAAGAGAGTGCACAGCTAATTGAAATTTAATTTAATGACCGCTCTGAGCACGTGGAAAACCTTCGCTGAGATGCAGCCAGGCGTTGGAAAATTCGTGGAACTCGCCGCGCCTTCCATCGCTAATTAAATTAGCAGCCGTATGCATGCAGGGAGCGATTTATGAATTACATTCCCGTCCGAAAAGGTGCCACGTGGAAAGGGAAGGGGAAGCAGGGAAATGCTGCACTGACCAAACCGTAAAAATGCCACACAAAACGAGAATTTTCCTAATTGAACATGTGTCCGACATTCAGGTGCATAGTACACATATGGAAGCACTGCAAGCGCAGACACAAAGTACACCTTTGCACTGGGTTCCTGTTTCCACTCCACCTCTTCACAGTTCATTAATATTGCGGGGCGCACTGGGAGGGTTTATTGGAAATTAAAAGCCAACTTCATTTGCGTTCTAGCTGGCACTGTTTTGTTTTCCTCGCTCCGTTCTCCCATTTCCACGGCAGTTTCCCATTTTCCCGGTGCCACCTAATTTAAATTTTTTTGCTTGTTTGCAGTGGAATTTATGCTTGACAGCGGGTGGAGACCACACAAATTGAGGCATAAATTCGGATGCATTCCCACATCTTTCCTTTTTTAATTTAAACATTGCTTTGGCCACGAATATTAACTAATAAATATTCAAGCTCAGAGTTGTTTACGTCAAGGTATTAATGGCATACATTTTTGTGACAGTTGCACAAGGCTAGTTATATTCTTTGGGTATTAACTTTAATTTACATTCGGTTTAGAAATGCTTATAATAATTATTCTGACACATACAACTTTCAAATTAGTTCATACACATCCTCAAGTAAGACACAAAACTTTACGGGAAACAATATATTTCATGGAAAATATCATTACTTAAACTTCCTTTAATAATTCAATGAACACTTGATGGAAACCAAAAATGTTATTAACTCAGGAAAGCAGAAAATATTTATTCGCGTTATTAAAATTTCTGGCATGATAGTGATAATTTATTTAAACCTCAATTACGGGTTTTTCTTTTCACATTTCATACATAAGCCCGTACAATTTCGCAAAAATATTCAAGCTTGAAATCCGTGTTCCTGCAGTTAAAATTTCCCTGTTGAGGTCATAAATAGCGTAATAACTTTAATGGCAGGCACTTGATGGACACTCGAAAGTGTTTTTAATTTCAATTAATATACAGGACACTCGAGGGTAAAAACACAGACCCAGTGAAATCGACACACAAGTGACTCGGGTCCTTGACCAGGACTCTCCTCAATCTCAATGGCTCCGAACGGAAATCAACTCAAGTGGCGTCTGCCTTTGATAGCCGGCCCGTCGCCCATCTGCAGTTGCATGAAAAAGTCTGAAAAAGCGGTAGCAGCTGAAAAGGACTCCGTAAATACCTTAAAGTTGGCTTAAACTTTCGCCAATGGCCAAGAAAATTAGCAATGATACCCCGTCGTCGGCTTAAGGGCTCCTGGGCCATAATGGCCTCATTAAGGGTTAAGCCAAAGTTAAAGTTTCAACGCTGGCAAAAAAAGTGTACCGACATGTTCTGTGCGGCTGAAATATCCTGCCCTAAGCAGGAAAATTATTAAACAATGCCCAGGGACTGCAGGACGAGGAGGAGACGGGGCGAGACCAGGATGATGACAATGAGGACCCTGGTGCATGCTGCTATGAGAATGGCAAAGTGCTGACCTAAGCCCACAAACAAAATGGTATACTATGGCACTGCGACGAGACAGCAAAAAAGTGTCACAGCAGCTCAACACAAAAACTCAAATTCCGAGGGCCCGGGTTCGACTCCGGGTGGTACTGGTACTGGTACTGAAACTGAAACTGAACCCAGACCGACGGATGGACGGGTGGACCGGTGGACATGACGAAGTGTCAGTGGCTCAGAGCAACGAAATCCCAATGTAGCCAGTGATAAGGCCAACTACAGAGCCACGTGTTTGCTTTTCAATTTGTGCCAGCAGTCGGCTGTGGAATTATGAATAGGCCGGCACAAAAACAAAGCGCCCAACAGCAGATAGACATCGTGAATGGGCCAAGTGGAACGGCTTTCTGGGGGCCACGAGGGGTTAAGGGGACTGAAACGGCTGGGGGGGGGTTACACGGAGCGTCGAAGCATTCATTGAAGCTAAACAGGATGTAAGATGAGGGTTAGGCGGAGGTGCTGGGCGGGATTCCAGGAATGGAATCGGACGGGATGAGATGAGATGGGGGAGTACGCTTCGATGCCAACAGGCAAAGGAAAACAACTTTTGCAAAAGTTGTACTCGATTTGTGTTCTACTTTAGAGCTCCTGTTCGTCCTGCTCGTGCTCTTCTTTCCTGTTTTTACATCACTACTTATGGCAAGCTGCATCGCATGAAATGCAAATGTTAATCTGCAAGGGTTCAAAGTCGTCCTGGATGAGCATACAAATTTTATGGTAAGCTCCCTGATCGCTCCAACAATTTCGATAAAAAGGGCTCAATGTATAAGAACTACTCAATCATCTCAATTTAGGAGGAAGTAAGGGTGTAAATAAAGATGAATATTTGTTCCAATCGTTGGTATATTATTAGGTTGCATTTAAATGCGACCTTTTTTAACTTTTGAGCGGCTTTAGAATTAAATGTCAAAAAAAGTGTTGGTCTGAACTATCAAAATTTATATGAACGTTTTTTTTATAAAACCAACCAGCCTGGCCTAAAATTCATTCACTTACATAGTAAGACATCAATAAACAATAGCACAAACACAATTTCAAAAATAAAACTCATCCATAGATAAGGCTGTAAACAACCTTTAAAATGGAAGAAGTACAGGAGCGGAAAACCATGATCCTGGAAAAGAGGAAGCTCATGGGCGACAAGAGGATGAGCATGGGAATGAAGTCATTCTATGCTTCCTTTATTGGGAGCATTTTTCGAATGAGCGACGAGCCGCGAAACTCGTTTTCGACCATGGTTAAGCGACATAAGGCTGATAGCAAATATGTGGATGCCGATTTTAGGGACGAATACATGGAGGAATACGAACCCATTTATCAAACCGTATTCGACGACAACAGGGACCCCGTGCTTGAGCCCACGTTTGCGAAACACCGCATTCCCCTGTAAGATAAAAAATAGGATCTGTTAGGGCACTCACATTATTATTATGACTGTTTCAGGCAAATTCGATGTCTTGAGCGTTATCACAATTCCAAACAAGGGTACGCCAAGCAGTTCAAGCGCGAGATACAACTCCTGATTGACAATCAGCCGACTGCAGAAGATGCCTGGCAATTTGTAAGGTATTGTTGATTATTTCTAATTAACTGAATAAGACTTTGAATATTATACTATTATATCCTATTATAGAACCAAAAATATTTTATAAATATCATACATTTGATGTATTTAATGTCTTAAATTTTTTATTTCGATATTTTGTAGGACCATGGCCTATACCACACTTTGGCCGCCACTGCATACAAGGAAAGAGCTCAAGATTTTCGAAAAGGACTTTTGCAAGCTTACTCCCACTGAGCAGAATCGTTACAACAAAATAATGTCGACAAATTTTACATAATTGAACTAGTGTTTAACATGTAAAATATTTGTAAAGACAAAAAAAGTATTTAAAATTTAATTTATAAAACCTTTAAAGTTCCATAAAAGCGAAACAAGAACTGCAGAACAAAGAAAAACTTTTGTTTTCCAAACAAAAACTTTTAAATGTTGGAGCTGAATATCTCTGGGAGAATGTATAAAACTCTCTGTATGAGTATTTGGAGAATCTGACTCTCAAAAGCTTAGCTATACCATTTCTTGCTCAGCTGTGATAAGCTCAGCTCAAGACTCGGTCGTCTTAAAAGCTTTACTCAATTCTTCTCTGAAGCACTACCTCCCATCGATTATCATCTCCGATCGCATTTAAGGTCTCTCGTCCGTCAGTTCGCGATCAGTTGATTCAGTTTCGAAGGCGGTTGTGGTTTCAGTTCCCTTCCCGGTTCTCTGGTTCTCGAGGTCGACGTGCGTAATCACAAAGACGCGTTTTTATTGAACTCGCTGTGCAATTTGTTATTACTATTTGTGGGAAATATCCCGTAAGATGAAATCAACACGCGAAGTAGTGGGAATTTTTTGGGCCACCTGCCTGCTGCCGTTCACCATTCTACAAATACAAAGTATTCAGGCCCAAGGAAGTTAGTACCAAGTTGTATGTGATTCACTCAGAGCTGACTCATTAAGTGAGACCGGTACACGATTAATTGAGACACAGTATTATTCACGTTAAGCGCAATAGCTTAACTGGGATTCAATGTGATTATCAGACTTGAACTTTACCAGTTTCCCGTGTCAATGACTTAATTGAGCGCACTCGTGCGATTTTAATAACTTGAATGAATTTAATGGTTCCAATCGTAGAACAGCAGATTACGTTATCAAGTACTTACAGATGAGAACGAAGTTAATTTTTATTTTATATTACTAATTAAGCAACTTCTCTACATGTGTTTTTAAGGCAATACTTTTTTTTTACAAAAACAGCTGGCATGTAAAAAATACTCAAAACCAGTTAAAAAACAAAAATAAATGTTTAATTAATATTGTTGTAATCATTTTTTTAATCATTTTTTATACCAGTTATTGATATGTTTATTTGTGCCCGTTGCTTATTGCGTGCTGTTTACATTTAAATATTTTAATATACAAGTTGTTATCATTGTGAGGTGTTATGTATCTGGAATTTCCCGGTTGCCTTAATGTCTAATTTTTCAATAATAAATCTTCCTACATTTGTTTTTATTTTTGTTGTGCAGCTTGTAGGAATCCCAACCAGGAGCAGGGTCAATGCTTGTCCATATACGACTGTCCACCTCTGCTTTCTTTGGTCCAGCAGACATTTGTCAACCTGCAGGACAGAACTTTCTTACGCGATTCGGTGTGTCCTAATGGAGTGGGCCGCACGCCGTATGTTTGCTGCGTTAATGATCGGAGGTCTGAACCCCTGAAAAGCACCTCTGCTGCTCCACAAGTGACGCCAACCAGTTCAAGTCAGCAGGGTCAACAGGGTCAGCAAGGTGAGGGCAACCTGTTGCCGTCGCCACCGAAGTGTGGGCCACACTCCTTCGGCAACAAGGTGTATAATGGCAACGACACCGCTCTGGACGAGTTCAGCTGGATGGCCCTGCTGGAGTATGTGGATCGTAAGTGGTGTTTAAACTATAATGATGAAATTATTAATTAAATTTCATTCTGGAAAGGTAGAGGACGGCGTGAGCTTAGTTGTGGCGGCAGTCTAATCAACAATCGTTATGTCCTTACGGCTGCCCATTGCGTCATTGGTGCCGTGGAAACTGAAGTGGGCCGCCTGTAAGTAGTTTATAATCTTATATCCAAAATAAGCGATCGAGACCAGAAAGTTTCAGGACAGTTTTGTTTGTTTACCCGTTGACTTTTCTAAATACCTCCAATTTAAATTTATGAAAAATTCTTACATTTTATTCTAATTTTTATTTAATTTGGTTTTCCTTTATTTAACAATGCATGTTAAAATGCATCAAAAATCATATACTAGGATTTTCAGTCTACATGACACTGACCTAAATTTTGCTCGACCTGATAAGACTTTGATACTCTTTCAAAGGTCTGAGCTGAATGTACAAGCGTATTAGGCTTCAAAACATTTTAAAATAACTAAGTTACATCTCTTTTCCAGAACCACAGTTCGGTTGGGCGAATATGACACAAGCAAGGACATAGATTGCATAGATGGCCTATGCAACCAGCCCGTGCTTGAAATGGGCATTGAGGAGCGCATTGTACATCCCCAATATGATCCTGCCAACAAGGACCGCGTCCATGACATCGCCTTATTGCGTCTAGATCGGCCTGTTTTGCTTAATGAGTATATTCAGCCGGTTTGTTTACCTTTGGTCAGCACACGAATGGCAATCAACACGGGAGAACTTTTGGTTGTCAGCGGGTGGGGACGTACGACAACAGGTGAGTTAAGTAACACTAATTTACAAAATAAAATCAGTAAAAGGCTCTCAAGTCGTTAATCAAAAGAAGTATGTTAAAAATGTACTCCTGGGTCCCGAATATGTCACTAAAAAATGTATCCATACCAAGTAAGTTTTTACAGAATTTTATATTTTTTTTTTGCAGCTTTTGCTTATTTTTTCTTAAGTCTCGAGTTGTATCTAACCATTTTGGCTTATTGATATTTTATATTAAAGCAAACATTTTTTAAGGGGTAAGCAAATTAAAAACTCCAACAAATTTTGTTCGAAAAGCGTTACGGGGTTATCTTAAAGTTGAAATCTGACATAAAAAAGATATTTTGAGTATTTTTACTTAACTTCTTCGGTTTTTACAAGGATTCAAATTTATTTTGTTTCCCAGGAGATAACAAGTGATTTAAAATTTGTGTTGATTGATTGGGGTAAAAAAAGGCAAAATCAGATACAAAACACAGAAAAAAAGCCAAAAACATTTTTATTTCGGTGATCTAGGGGTTCAACATTAAAAGGATCTGATAAAAGCTTAGGAATTCTTAGGCTATGACTCAGCATTCATTTTTTTAGCATTTTTTGCAGAGTTCAAAACACAGTTTCAAAAAACGACCACCTTTAATAGTAAAAGTCAAACAAATTTATAAATGCGATCTATTTAAAATAAAATATTTTTAAGTGGCCAAATAATGTAGTATTAAGAAATTGTAACAGAAAACAAGAGAAAAAGCTACAGTTGATGACCTCGACTATTAGATACCCGTTACTCAGCATAAGGAAGTGTGACAGGAATGTAGATATGCTTTTATCACTAACACACCTAGCCTACAGCGCCACCTGTCTTCTTCTTCTATAGCGCCACTTGGCCCGTAGCTCCAACTAGCCTATAGCTCCCCTAGCGTCTTGGTTGCGTATTAGTGAAAACAGCTTATTGGCGTCATGTGGTGTGCAATCTCGATTAAATTGCAATATATTAATTATTGTTTGGTTATAACTATTTAATGACTGGTCCGATTTCAATAATTTTTAACATGTAGATTGGTATTGATAATAAGAACAAACTCTCAATCGGGTGTGGGGTTAGAGTGGGCGTGGCACCCTGCTGAAACAAACTTGCGCTGCGCAGGAAGCCCAAGAAACTGCATGCCAAATCCCAACACTCTAGCTCTTATAACTTCCGATATCTCAGCGTTCATACGAACAGACGGATATGGCTGGATCTACTCGGCTAGTGATCCTGATCAAGAATATATATTCCTTATGGGGACGAATTTAGTATAGCCTTTTACTCTAACGGGTATAATTACTAAGACATCGTGACATTTTATACCCTTTACTAGTAGAGTAAAAGGGTATACTAGATTCTTCGGAGAGTATTTAACAGGTAGAAGGAATAATTTCAATAAATAGTAAGTATGGACGCGGATATCTCGGAAACTATCAAAGTTAGAGAATTGGGATATCAGATTTAGATTTTGTGGCTCTTTTACGCTTTCACGCCCACTTTAACGCCGCCAAACCGCTCAAAACTGTGGCGCCCACAGTTTTCATGCTAGAGACAAATTATAAGTGAAATGTACTTGTCTAGTCAATACCTTGACCCAAAATTTTGCCTCGCCCACTCTAACGCCCATATCGCTTAAATCTGTCTGCCGCCCACATAACCATATATTGAGATCGCGGGTTGGCGGAGCAATATAATCTCGATTTGCTGCTTGTATATGTCCATCTCCCCTTGGTCCATTTAGCTTTGTAACAGGTATCTGATACCCTAGGCACTCGACTTCTTCCTTGTTTTCAATTGAAATACATTTTATTTAATAACACACTAAATTTAAATTACTAAATAGGTGGAAATTAATATTTTTAATTATTGAATATTGAAGCAACATCAAGAATGTGTATATGTTTATTGATTAAATGCTTTATCTTACAGCCCGCAAGAGCACCATCAAGCAGCGTTTGGATCTTCCGGTGAACGACCACGATTCCTGCGCTAGAAAGTTCGCCACACGAAATATCCATCTCATCAGCTCCCAGCTCTGCGTCGGTGGCGAGTTCTACAGGGACAGCTGTGACGGTGACTCGGGCGGACCTCTGATGCGGAGGGCGTATGAACAGTTCTGGTACCAAGAGGGCGTGGTCTCCTTCGGCAACCGCTGCGGACTGGAGGGCTGGCCAGGTGTCTACACACGGGTTTCCGACTACATGGATTGGATCCTGCAGACGATTCAGCCTTGAGCAGTGTAACGAAGGCCGCTTTTGTCCAAATGATGTTTTAATTAAAGTCAAGTCGAGAGTGTTTTTGGGGCCAGGGCGCCCATCTTTTAATTAACTTGCATTCAATGCGATTTTATCAGCTGCTTGTGCCACGCTGCGTATACGTAATGCGCTTACAGCCCAGCGCCGTTTGCGGTAATTAAAATCGCTGTTCCCAGTTGCTAGGAGTGGAGTGGAATAACTTTCGAGATGCGGACAACTTGCCCAGCGGCACCTTCTTAGCGCCCTCAACGATTTTCTATGCAATTTGGCAATGAATTTCTATTATGCAAGCAGCGCTTTTCCGGTTTTCCCGCGCTCCGCATCCCAAAGTTTGCACTTGTTTGCTGGCTGATTGCATTGCAGGCGTGGCGAGGCTGGAAAACAAAGTAGACAATGGCTTGGCTCATTAATTGTGTGCTCGCAGAAAGGTTAATGATGCCTGCAGGAACCAGTTAGCACGGACAAAGGGACGGTGCCGCCTTTGCGGCTTGGGTTTCTTGACCAAATTTACCGAGTAACCGTAAAAGCATTTAATGCGGAAGCAAAAATAAGTGCTGGAGTAAACAAACATTTAAGCGATATTTCGTAGAATTAAACATTTACCTCCATTGCTTACGTACATTTTTTTTTAAATCGGTCAGATCATTAGATTATTCAGTCGAAATGCACTCGCAGGGAAATTACTTTTAAAGTAATAGTTATAATTTCACAACAAACAATTTTCGTATTATGAACTTGCAGCGTTGTGTATAAGACCCTAAACTTTATACATAAAGGTCTTATTCCGCACAACACTAGTTTACAGCCAAATCGGTTAAAATACTAAACCAAAGTACAATTGTTTTTCGGTAAAATTTAGCTCTCTTAGTAAAAAAGCCGCCCAATTTTTTTTATATAGTGTCAATTATGGTGTTTTGATGAGCCATTTCCCGTCATCAAGGACACAGACAGCATTTTTCCAGGTCTTTACTAACAATTTTCCTGTATTTTTGCTAAACTTATGTATGGGATTGTTGCAGTTCTAATTAATAACTTTTTGAAGGTTTTTTTGCTAGGATTCTTGCTAGGTTTGTTGTTGCCCTGTTGCTAGCCTTTTCGATAAACTTGTTGACCTTTTTTTTATTATTTTTTTTATTTGTTCCTAGACCTATTTTATTTTCTACCATTCTTGCAGGATATTCCTGAGGCTCGTTGCCTATTACCTAGACTTTAGTCAGGCTTTTTGCAAGTCTTTTTGCAGGGCTATTGCGATACATATTGTAAGGCCTATCGCGACGCCTTTTGAGATTATTGCCAGGTTTGTTAAAGGCTTTTTTAAAGGCTTATTGCGAGGCTTTTTGCGAGACTTATTGCGAGGCTTATTGCGGGACTTATAGCGAGGTTTATTTCAAGGCTTATTGTGGGGCTTAGTGCGAGGCTTATGGCGAGGCTTATGCAAGGCTTATTCCGAGACTTAATGCGAAACTTAATGCGAGACTTTTGTAAGGCTTCTTGCAGGGCTTATTGGAAGCTTATTGCGTGGCTAATTGAGAGGCGAATTGTGGGTCTTATATATATTCGATGCTTTACGCAAAAATTTTTGATCATTTTACGTGGATTTCTTGATGACGTTTTTAGGAGTCTTTTTTGCCACTTTCTACACCGCTTCTTGCGAGGCTTTTGGCGATACTATTTTCGAGTCTTATTGGAAGGCTCTTTGCGAGGCTTATTCCGAGGCTTATGCAAGGATTATATCAAAGCTTATTGCCAGGCTTAATGCGACATTATTCTGATTTTGTATTTTTGTTATCTCATAAACTTTAGTTTCATAATTGATTTAAGATTAGTACCCTTTAAGACTACGCCTTTTATGATTATTTTCGCAAGGCTTTTTGCGAAGTGTATTCCAACTCTTAGTGCGAGAATTATTTTATTGGTAAAATACCTCGCAACAGGACTTTGTTATGATTCTGTAACTTTGGTATCCTCTTAACATCAGTTTCATTATAGATTACAAGGCACACCTCCCGGATTATTGCAAGGCTTATTGCTAGGCTTATTGCAAAGCATATTGTGTGGCTTGTTGGATGTCTTAATGGATGGCTATTGCATGGCTTAAGCAAGGCTTATTGTAAGGGTTAAGAAAGGCTTATTGTGAGGCTTATTGCAATGCTAATTACGTGGCTTACTGGAAGGTTTATTGTGAAGTTTTTGAGAGGCTTTTTGCTAGGTTTTTTACTAGCATTATTGCGATGATTATTGCGACGCTTTTTTGAATGCTTCCTGCCAGGCTTTTAGTAAGATTATAACAAGCCTTACTTGGAGGTCTTATACAAGGTTTTTTAAAATTCATCTTTGGCCATTTTACGTGGCTTTTTATACCCGTTACTCGTAGAGTAAAAGGGTATACTAGATTCGTCGGAAAGTATGTAACATTCAGAAGAAAGCGTTTCCGGCCCCATAAAGTATATATATTCTTGATCAGGATCACTAGCCGAGTCTATCTAGCCATGTCCGTCTGTACGTATGAACGCTGAGATCTCGGAAACTATACAAGCTACAATACTGGGATTAGGCATGCAGACTCCTGCGCATCGGAAGCTTGTTTCAGCAGAGTGCCACGCCCACTCTAACGCCCACAAACCGCCCAAGTCTGTGGCGCCCACAATTTTCATTCTAGATAAAAAATTTTAACTGAAATGTATTGGTCTCGTCAATACCTATCGATTGATCCAAACAAAATTTGCACCGACCACTCAATCGCCCATACGCTTAAATCTGTCTACCGCCTGTAGGTGGCGCATATCAATCTCGCTTTGCCGATTGCATATCTCCATTTCCCTTTGCTCCCATTAGCTGAGTAACGGGTATCTGATAGTCGAGTTACTCGACTATAGCGTTCTTCCTTGTTTTTTGCTATGCTTTTGGCGGCATTTTTGGCTTTCTTGTTAGATTTTGCGAAACTTTATTGCGAGCCTTTTGGCGATTGCAAGCTTCTTGCTAGGCTTATTGTAGGGCTTATATTGAGGCTTTTTGCAAGGCGTTTTGATAAGCGTTTTTAGCCATTTTACTTAAATCCTTTACTATCTGCAAGGCTTATTGCAAGGATTATTGCATGGCTTAATACAAGGCCTTTTACAAGTCTTTTTAAGACGAATTTTCAGCATTTTACATGGATTTCTTGATTGTGGTTTTAGGAGACAATTTAACGTAATTTTAGCATTTTACATTGCTTTTTTAATAGTGTTTCTACGAGACTTTTCAAAAGCCTCTATTTGACACTTTATTGGACTTTTTGCGATTCTGTCTTGCTATGGTTTCTGTGATACTTTTTGCTAAACTTGCTTGCCACTTTCTGCAAATCTTGTTGCGAAGCTTATTGCGATCCTTTTGCCAAGACTTATTTCGAGTCTTTTCGCAAGGCTTTTTGAGATGCTATAGGTGGCTCTATTCTTTGTCTTTTTGCAAAACCTATTGCGAGTCTTTTTGCAAGGCTTTTTTAAAACAAATTTTTACCAAATTTGGTGTTTTTACTACACTTTCTGATTTATTTTTATTTTTATTTAGATTTTATCATTTTACGTGTTTTTACGTGACATTTTGAAAGGCTTTTTCTGACGCTTGCAACGATTTTGTAATACTTTTTGCTAAACTTTTTTGCCACTTTCTGCAAAGCTTGTTCCGAAGCATATTGCGATCCTTATGCGTAGGCTTTTCGCGAAGCTTATAGGAAGACATATTGCGAGTCTTATTGCAAGGCTTATTATATTAAAAATCTTTTTGCAATACTTTTTTAAAACACATTTTAACCAAATTTGTATTTCTTGATCGTGTTTTTACTACACTTTCTGACGCATTTTATCATTTTAATTTGTTTTACGTGACATTTTGAAAGGCTTTTTGCTGAACTTTTTTGCCACTTTCTGCAAAGCTTGTTCCGAAGCTTAATGCGATCTTTATGACTTTGCTTTTTTCGAGGCTAATTGGAAGGCTTGTTTCAATGCTTTTCGTACGGCTTTTTGAAACTCTTTACGTGGCTCTCTTCTTTGTCTTTTTGCAAAACTTAATGCGAGGCTTATGCAAGCTTATTTTATTACAAGTCTTTTTGCAAGGATTTTAAGACACATTTTTAGCATATTTGGATTTCTTACTTTGGGCTTACATTTTATTCTTGGTTTCCTAGACTTTTTTCTATGCTTTTTTGCTAAGGTTTTACGGTATACTTTTTGCTTAGCTTTTTTGCCACTTTCTGCAAGGCTTATTGCGAGGCTTGTTGTGAGGCTTTTTGAAATCCTTATTTCGACGCTTATGGAAATGCCATTTGCGAGTCTTATTGCAAGACTTATTTTATTTGTAAATTGCCTCGCCAATCTACATTAATCTCATTCAGTATTTTTGGAATCCTCTATACTTCAGTTTTATGTTTATGATTAATACCCTTTAAGACTACGTATTTTAAAAGTCTTTTTGCAAGGCTTTTTGTGACGATTTCTTGGTGGGATTCTGTCCTTTTTGCTAAACCTTATTCGCCGCTCCATGCAAGGCTTATTGCGGTGCTTATGGCGAGGCTTTTTAAATGCTTATTGCCTGTCATTTGCGAGGCTTATTGCACGTCCTAATGCGGGTCTAATTAGAGGCTATTGCGAGACTTTTTGGAAAGCGTCTTGCTCTGCTCGTTGCAAATCTTTTTGCAAGGTTCTCAGACACATTTTTTTTTTGCGATTTTACGCGGTTTCCTTCTTTTCTCTTCCGATAAGGCTTATTGCGAGGCCAATTGCATGGTTTATTGCAAAACATACTGTATAGCTAATTGTAAGGCTCATTGCATGGCAAGGCTTAAGCAAGGCTTGTTGCGAGGCTTATTGCGATCCTAATAGCGTGGTCTACTGGAAGGTTTGTTGTGAAGATTTTTGCGATCCTTATGACAAGGCAAGACTTTCATCATAGATTGCAAGGCACATTGCAAGGTTCATTGTAAGGCTTATTGCCAGGCTTTTGCGAGGCATATTGCGAGGCTTATAGCGAGGCTAATTGCAAGGCATAAGCCTTGCAAGGAGACTTAA